AAAGTGGGGAATGACTTTTCTCTTTTGGGCACATTGAGTTTAAAATGTCTACTGACATCCACTTAAAGATGTCTGAAAAGTAAGTTAAATAAATGAGTACTTGTTTCAGGGAGATCAGAGTCACTGCGCAGTTTCTCAAATTGTTTCTTTCTTCCTCCTATAGCCATCTAGACCCAACTTATCCATCTATAATATAATGTCTATACAGGACACTTGTGCTTGTAGACCACTTCTGTGGCATGTCCATACAAATGAATATCATAATCTGAACAGTAGTAACTTTTCATCCACTTGACTTTCCCTCTGTGGATTGTTAGGTCAAAGTGTTTTGAGGGAATCATAGATCTCATTTAAAAGGCTTGGCAATATTCAGGGGACTTGAGGAAATCAGTGCAAAGTCATCTGCAAAAAAGGGAACATTCTGATGACTCCAAATCTCCAGGGAATCTCTTCCATTTGGATTCTGAGCTAGTTATCCTCCATTATAGTGTCAAACAACATTGGCATTTCTCTGTTGTTGCATCTTCTAAGGGATCACAAATGATTTTAACACATCCATGGGAGACACTTTGTTGGAGGAGAGCCTTAAAGCTGGATTCTGCTCTACCATATCAAATACTTAAAAAAACAAAAACTAGTCAACAAACAACAAATCATGCATTTGATACACCTTTCATTCAATTGCGTGATTGTAAAAATGGTGGCCTTCCTTAGAATATTTTCCCCAAAACTTGATAGTTCAAGTCTCCTATTTTCATCAAAGATGCCTGATATAAGTGAATGGATTATTTTCATGCTGATTTCATAGAGATGAGAAAGTAGAAATGTGGGTTAGGAATTATTTATGTTGTTTTGATTGTCTTTTTTTAGCCGTAAGAATATGTTATTTTTTTCCAGTCATTCTGCAACTTCCCCTTTCAGATAACTTAAGAAATGATTCCTCAACACTATCAACACTTCAGTACAGGATCTGTGTGTACTTTGGTCCAGCTGCTCTTTCCGGCTTTGTTTTTCTTTAGTGACCATTTCGACTTCCTCAAAATGTGGTGAATCCACTGTAACTAAGGACAAAATGGGTTATTACAATACTGGATTGTGTTTTATTGTTAGGAGTAAGTAAACATTGTCTAACTGTTCTAAAATTACTTTTTTGTTAGTTGTGCAATCTTGATTTTATTAATTTTTAATTTTATTAAACTTATCAATAGATTTCAATACATTTAAAATTTTCATTTTGATTGCAAACAAAACATATAGACATTTAATTTTATACAGTACCTGCAAATATTATCACTTGTAATGCACATTTTTAGGATGCTAAACAGTACCTGAGTAGCTTGAAAATAAGCTTATATCTTGGGAGAGTAGCATATTCATATTTATAGCATTGTTCCTGGAGAGGTTCTAGGTTCATGTAAAGTGTAATCTCACTATATACTTTGAATGATCCTTCCCACCCTCAACATTATAATATGAGGGAAATCAGGTTTAAATGACCATTATGTCCAGGATAATTAGCATGTGGGGGAACAATCATAGGATCATAGATTTAGAGCTGGAAGGGACCTTGGAGGGCATCAAGCCATACCTACTCATTTTACAAATGAGGAAACTGAGGCCTAGAAAGATTAAGGGACTTGCCCGGGGTTAGACAGTGAGTATCTGAATTTGGGATTTGAACCCAGATCTTCCTGAACGTAAGTCTAGGGCTCTATCTGTTATACCATGCTGTTTTTGGAGAGAGGGAGTCCTATCCCTGTGCTTTGGCCATGGGGGGGGAAATTAGGAGAGGACTGTATGGATATATTACTGCAGGCATTCTAGGGTGAGTAGTAAGAATCACATTGTCTCTCCTTCTGCCGGCCATCACTGCATTGTCACCAGCATCAGGGCCTGGCCAATCACTCTGATCTGCAAAGAGTGGCCCATTCTCTACAGTACCATGGCAGTAGAATGAATGTTTGGCTAAGACCTAGCATGACTTCTTCTGCCAAGAGAAGAAAAAAAATAGAGAATCCTGAGAATATTCCTCTGCATCAGATGGAGGGGTGCACTTAATCTCAGCATAACTTTTCTTCCACAACATATTTTATTGTAGTTCTTTAAATATTTTCCATTTTGTTTTTGAGGAAAAAAAGGTCAGATTACTTATTTTTTAATGGTTTAATCCTTTCCTGGATAGTTGAGGCACACTATACTCGATGTAGAACATATATTTTGCAGCTGATTTCCATTGCTAATGTTACCATGGCCCTAAATTCCTATAAACACAGAGCTGCAAGAGACCTTAGAGATTATCTAATCAGGACTCCTTATTGTGAAGGTGAAGAAACTGAGGCATAAAAGAGCTTGTAACTCCCAAAGTTCACAGATCTAGGTCATGTTACTGTTCAGTTGTTTCAACTCTTTATACCCCACCTGGGGTTTTCTTGGCAAAGATACTAGAGTGGTTTGTCATTACCTTCTCCAGCTCATTTTACAGATGGGGAAAATGAGGCAAACAGGAGTAAGTGACTTGCCCCAGGTCATACAGCTAGTAAGTGTATGAGGCCAAATTTGAACTCAGGTCTTCCTGACTCCAGGCCTGGAGCTCTATCCACTATGTTCTCTAGCTTGCCTCCAGGACTTCAAGTCTCTTGACCCTCAGTATAGTGCTTATTTTTTTTAAAGGCAATTGGGGTTAAGTGCCCAGGGTCACACAGCTAGTAAGTGTCAAGTGTTTGGTCTGAGGCCAGATTTGAACTCAGGTCCTCCTGACTTCAGGGCCGGTACCCTATCCACCTCACCACCTAGCTGCCCCCAGTATAGTGCTTATTCAACCTCTCATACTGCCTCCTCACACCACAAGTCTCTCTTCATTCAATTTCTTTCATTGTATTAGCTTCTCTTCATGGGCATAGTGGAATTTTTGTTTTAAGCAGAATTTTCAAGGAGTTTCTCAAGAATAAGCTAATAGACTGGTTGCCTTTGGAGGCATTATTGTCACTAATTCACTCTTCATTAGTAAAGTGGTTTTTCTTTTCTATTCATGGCCCAAAGCTATGACACCAAGCATCTAAAGCTGGCTTGAAGCGTTTAGGACAAACAGTAGTGAATCCCTACAAGCTCCTACGTGCCAACTCTGAGGCATGACTCTTCCTATATGGAAGCTAAAATTTGTCATATGATATATTTAATCATTTTTTAAAAATAGGCACATAATAGGAATGACATCGATCTTAAGTAGCCCTGCTAAGAGCCCCTAGAGAAGCTCAGACAGGAAAGAGAAAGACAAGCAAGGTTCACTTTTTATGTCAGACAAGCAGCACTTGTCCTATCAAATCTTTTCTATGCTGAAAGGATTGAGCCTAGTAATTAGTGTTTTCAGGGAGAAGACCTGGTCAGGTATTCTTAGCAGATTGGAATTCAATAAGGTTTCCTCCTGGATCCACAACTTTATTTTTCCTACAAAATCCATTAAATGGATCCACAATGCAAGTCTTCTACTACAAAGGTGTCTTAGATGCTAACAAAATATTACAGGTCTAGAGGGCAAAAGGACCCTTTAGAGATTATCTTGCACAATCCCCTCCATTTACAATGGAGGAAACTGAGGCCCTGAGAGGTCGTATACCTCAGGGCAAAGTCAGGAAAAAAAATCATGAAATTTAAAAGATCATCTAGATCAACCCCCTTGTTTTGTGGATGGATAAATGGAAGAGATCCAGAGACAGGTATTCACCTAGTAAAGCAAGGGTTTGATCCTACAGCTTTTAACTTAGGGCTCTTTCCACTGTGCTATTGTTTCCCTAGCTGAACTTCTTAGCCTGTTAGGTACATCAGCTTCTCAGCTATGCCCTGCCATTCTAAAGTGCAACAGAAGGGCAGCTAGGTTGTACAGTGGATAGAGCGCCAGCCTTGGAGTCAGGAAGACCTGAGTTCAAATCCCCCCTCAGACACTTGGCACTAGCTGTGTGACCCTAGGCAAGTCACTTAACCCCAATTGCCCAAACAAATAAAAAAAGTGCGTCAGAGTAATCATAGTTTTATTTACTTATGGGAGAGTGAGGCTGCCTAAATGGAGACCTCCCCCTCCCTTCCCTACTTCCCAACCAAGCTGCCTTTTGCTGGGCCTGACACCATGCAGATTGATTCGCTTTAGGGGTTACAATAAATACCCTCTTGATCAGAGGTATAGGACAGCAGAGTTAGACATTAGAGGTCATTTAGCCCAACTCATTCTTAGATGATAGAACTAAGACCCAGAAAGTCAGTCAACAAGCATTCATTATTAAATGCCTTCTATGTGCCAAGCACTGCGCTAAGAGGGAGAGAGACAAAAGACAGTCCCTTTTCTCAAGGAGTACACATTCTACAACCTGCAACTACTACAACCTACAACCTACAAACTATACACAAGGTAAATTGGAAATAATCAACAGAGAGTGTAGTGACTTGCCCAGATAGGTAATAAGTGGGAGGAAAAGGAATAAGCATTTATTAAACTCCTACTATGTGGCAGGCACTTTACAAATATTACCTCATTTGATCCTCACAATAACTCTGTGAGGTGGGTGTTATTATCATCCTCATTTTACAGCCCAGGAAACTGAGGCAGAGGGAGGTTAAATGATTTGCCTAGGGTCACAGCTACTAAGGGCACATTTGAACTCAGAGCTTCCTGACTCCAGGTATGGCGCTATAACCACTGCACCACCTAGCTCAGATAGCTGGGATTTGAACCTAATTCTTTTGACGCCCAGAGAGTCTTAGGCAGGGAGAAAGGCCAGATAAGGTCGAAAGCGGAATGAAACTTTGCTCCTTTCAATGACATAATTGCTGATGTTCTTCCCCTCTGAAGGGTCACACCCTGTCTTCTCACTTGGCCACAGCCATGCATTTATTCATCTCTGGAGTTATAACGCTGTACCCTCCTCCTGCGCTGTCCTCTAGGCTTGCTTGGTAGCTGCTCATTTCCTTCCCTTTTTTTTTCTTTTTTATTTGCATATATTGATTTCCCAGTTGCTGACTCTGTCATCCAAGTTCGCCAGCAGGTCACGACTTTGGTCCCAGCTTATTCATTCTCACTTACAGACTAGCTTGTTGTGAAGTTGGCGCAGGGTCTGATCTGGCAGTTGCTTTACTTTTATTCCTCTCCAGAACCTGCTCTGATCACAATGGGGCTCTCTCTGTGCTTTAATAGGCATTTGGACTTAAGCCATTCTGGACTGAAGTGGTAAGTTATTTGACAATGCTATTGCTTCTGTGGCGCCTTTTATATGTCAAAGGTTCTGGTGACCTTGATCCATAACCTTCTCCATTAAAAAAAAAAAAAAACTCTTATAGAAACTAACAATGGTTTTTTTGTTTGTTTTTTGTTTTTGTTTTCTGCCCTTTTCAGAGTTTCTTTCCCTGGTATATTCAAAACTATTGTTTTTAAAAAAATTTTGATAACTGTATTTCAATGTGTAATCTTGTGTATTTTTATCAATTTAAAAACATTATTTTGAAAAAGGGTTCATGTACCCCAAACATTTAAGAACTACTTCAAATCCTGGAAATGCAGGGGTATGCTTGTAAATATTCTTTCATTCAATTAGCTTCCCTTGAAATTTCTTTTCTACTCCAATGACCCTCATACTGGGCATTAAAAACTCCTCAGATTTTGGTGGTCAAATCTTTCTGCAGCTTTGGGAAATGCCAGAGAGGATGAGGATCTGGTCCCTGCCCTTCACTGTGTATTTTCATGAGATTTAAATGAATGAATGAAAAAATGACCTAGTATCTGTCGTCAAAGGAATTTACCATTCTACTACAGATAGGTGTAAATAGAGGGGTACTCAGGATCATAGGGTAATCCTAGCCTTACAGCTGGAAGTGGCCATTAAGAAGTCAAACTCCTGTATTTTAAAGATGAGGAATGAGGCTCAGAGGTGACTTCCTCAAGGTCATTTATATGAAGTACTTTCTAAATCTATCATTAATGATCTCATTATTATTACATACTTTAAGTACTAGATGTTCAGAGAGGGAGTTTATATGTGAGTTACTGATGTCAGGAAGACCATGGAGGAGGGGATGGAGGGTGAAGAAGGCATTGAAGGACAGAATTCATGCCTGGCGAGCCTGAATTTCGATTTCGCTGTTGAAGTGGGGTCTGTAAATGGTGGAGCAAAAATAACTTTATCCCCAATCAACTATTAACAGTTAGTCTTCTTTCAGTGAATAAACGTGTATTTTAAATGTGTTTTAAAACACTTTACACACAACCCCTTCAGCTAATGCAATTATTATATTCATTTTATAGGTAAGGAAGGCTCAAAGGATTTTATAGGTAAGGAAGGCTCAAAGGCGCTTGCCTCCTATCACTGAGATGTTTAAGGGTAGGAAGTGGAGTTTGAATTTAGATGTCTGTTACACCTTAACGTAATCTAGTAGAGGGGGCTGTCCGTCACCGGTAGCACCGCCCCTTACCTGGACACACCAAGCAGCGCCTGGTAGCTCTACCCTGATCGCATAGGAACCTGGAGTTGCACCTTATTCTCTGGACACGGTCGCTGTGGAGCAGGGCGCTAGCGGAGACGCTTCTTCCGCGCAGTAAAAGCTGGCAACGCTGGGGAGCAGTGGGTGCCTCAAGGCTATTAGTTCCTCCGCTGCTGGGGAGACGATCGCCGCAGCTCCGCCCTCTCCGCTTCTCTCTGCTGCGGCTCCCTGTTCTGCCTTTGCCTGCCTCAGAGCTCTTCTCCTTGGCTTCCCCCGGCCCCTCGGTCCCGGCGCTGTGAGTGGGGTTCGCCACGCCATCAGTTCCCAACTGTTTGCCAGGTAGGGCGGTAGCAGTTGTCCTGGGGACAGACAGCCTGGGAGGAGTGTAGAGAGCTTTTTTAGAGGACGCACGGAGGCAGAGGTGGACACAGAGGGGCTTTTCAGAAGAAGAGGGTGGGTAAGGGCAGAGGCAGTCCCAGGGTAGGTACCAGAGAGACCAGTTATTTAACCTTGGGTGAGAAATAAGCGACAGGCGCCGTAAAGTCACGGGTTCGTAGAGCTGAGACCTTAGAGATTATTTGAGTCAATCCTCTCATTTCACGGACTGGAAGCCAGGGTCCTTTTAGGGCTAGTGACTTCTCTCAGCTCACAAAGCAGGAGAGCTGCCGTGAACATTAGGGAAAGTCAGATAGATATCTAGGCAAATTATGTGTGGGTGGCTCTCCTGGGCTGGAATGGCGGATTGGGATTAAAATACATATATAATTTTTTTTCTAAGGCAAAGGACACTTCAGCAAACAATTATCGACCACATACTATGTGTCTAAAATAGTTCTAGGTTCGCTCTCTTCCCATCTCTGTATTTCTCTTCTTTCACCCAAACTCAAAGTGAAGCATCTGAATGGGGAAGCATCACGTGCTGTGGAAATCCCCCAAGACACAAAATAAGCTGTCCCGTAACCCACACATATTAGCGGGGTGGGTTCCTTGGTTATTTCTTTAGCCCAGATCTATAACAAATGGATAGTCTGGGTTGGTTGCACTGCCGGAAAGAAGATCCTGACCCAGGTTTGTAGTGAAGCAGCCCAGAAGCATCTCATTTTATTTGGAATTTCTTCCCTCTCCCTCTTCTACACCAGCATGGCTGCCAGGACAGCTTTCTAGGTCAAATTTAACTTTTGCCCCACTTTTAAGACTACTCGTTTCAATGGTCTCCTTTCAAAGTTGTCTGAAAGCTGCTGGATTAATTGAAAAATTGAATGTGTCACCTGAGAGGATGAGGAATAAAACCACCTGGTTACTGGTTATTTAACCTATAAGGGTATAGGGCCCCTAAAGGAAAAAAGAAGCTGTACAATGTTTTCCAGAACACCCCATTGTTATAGTAGAAATATCCATAGAATTTCAGACTTGGAAGGGACCTTACAAGGGGTTTGTACCTAGTAAGTCGGCAAGTACCTAGTCTGAGAATCCAGAGACTAAGACAAGTCAAAGAAACTTGGCCACTTCCTTCCTCTGTACCATGTTGATAAAAATCTTTTCTCAATCTTCCGATGGTGGTGTTATAAATAAAATAATAGATATATAAAGTAAAAAAGTATAAAGTGCTAATGAAATGTGAGGTATTTCTCTCTAATCTGTTTTTTCTTCCCCCTTTCTAACACTTCCCCCCGAGTCTGGCAGGATCAAATATAAAGGTGAAAGATAATTTAGCTTTTTTTTTTTTAAGAAATTCAGAGAAGAATCCTTCAGCCTCCCATTGAAATGACCCTTCTCAGGGTCAGCAGGTTTTGAAATACACAAACTGCCATTTTATTTTTTTGTGAATAATTTTCCTGCATGCAGGAATTGGTGATCATTTTTGTAAGTAACAGAAGGTCCAATGCTCTTGGGGTTTTGAGGGTGTGTTGTGGGCCAGGATACTTACTGGTGACACTGGAGAGGAGTGAGTTAACTCCTGCTGTCCCCAGGTCTAAACCACTGCTTCATTGCTCACTATGACAGTGAATTGGTATGGTAGTATTCCTCAAGTCCCACCCACTTCTAGTCAGTATCCTGACCCTATAACACAAAGGTGGCTGTGCTTGTGGTGGCTATCTGCCCAAGAAGCTTTACACATCCAGTCTTATGTTAATGAATCCTACTTTTCAATATTGTACCTGCACAAATCTTGGAATGTTACCTTCCTGACTCAGAGATTGTATCCTTTTGGTTTATTTCTATTTGGCTAATTCCATGCACCCATTGGGGTTGTTCAATACAGCTGTGATGAGACCTGATAGATGGAGAGGTATACTTTACTACTATACCTATTTGCTTCCTATGGCTACTTAAACATAAAATATCCATTGGCCTTCCAAAATGGGTTGGAGTTCTCACTGTTGTGGGGGAAGTAGCATCAGAGTTGGGGCATAGAAGAATGAGAAATTTCCTTTAAATATTTGCTGCGAGAAAGGATGGTTGGAAAGTAAAATTTTTTAAAAATCATATTATTTGAGGACAAAATTTTCCTATCCATTTTAGGCAATGCGATGCTATAGATACATAGCATCAATATGGGTGAGTAAGCTCTTATGGACCTGAAATAAATTCTCTACCTGCAACATAGGAAAGTTTCATTTTATCACATGTGGCTTGTACTAAATCTCAGAAGGCAAATCCCATTAAAAAAAATTCTCACTATATTTAACAACTTGTGAGCTTAGGTGGTTTATTCATAATGATTGTTTTTCATCTGGAAATCACATAAGGATTTTAAAAGAGGTGCAGGGTGTAGGGAAAAGATTTCCTGCACTTGCAGACAGAAAATCTAGGTTTGAGTCTTAATTGGGATGCTTTCTAACCAATAACCAAATCTCTCTGAGCTTTTAGTTTCTTCATCTAAAATGAGGAGAATGGTAATGATGCTCTTATTACTTCCAGGAAAACATACTGTGAAAGGGTAATTAATGACAGGTTTGTGCTGGAGCTAGCTCTAACCAGCTTATGAGAACTGGTGGTTGAATTTCCACTGTGAGTATTTATACCTCAGAAATTGGCAGTTGCTACAAATCATGGCTTGATTTATTGCTTGATGATTGTCTAGATGTAATAAAGTATTAATAATGCAGCTAAACTTGAAAGAGTATGTGTATACATTTTTTTTTTCTTCTGGAGAGCCTACTTGCTGAACATTTGCCACCACAACCATGTATTGCTCTATAGACATTGACCTCAGCAGGAGTGCAATAAAAGGCCCAAGGAATGAAGCTACTACTGGACTAGAGGCCTAGTGACTGTAGGATAATAACAGTATAACTGGCATTTATGTAGCAATTTGGGTCTCACCACACCCCTGCCTATGAGACAGTATTAAGAGCATTGGCTTTTCTCTCTAGCACTTTTATAAGCTTCCTGAAGAGTGCTTTCTCATTTTAATGAAAGATATTTCTCACAATGGACAGATATCAGTGAAGGGGTAGGGAAATAAGACCCAGGTTTTCTGAGTTGTGGTGTCCTGCTTTGAATCCATGACCTCTATCATTTGTGCTTCTATGTTCTATTTGATTCCTCCTAGGGGAGAGTGGCATAATGTATCCTATGCTGGCTGGGTTCGAATCCCACCTCTGATACTTGCTGTGTGGCAAGTCATTTAATCTTGCTCAGCCTCAGTTTCCTTATTTGTAAGAAGGGGATAAGAATATAGACCTCAAAGAGCTGTTGTGAGGCTGAAATGAGATAATATATGTAAAGCACATTGTAAAACTCAATGCTATAATAAATAGAAGCTGTGAGTATAAGTAATTTTCAAATATTATGTTTTTTAATTAATACTCAACCACTTTTTATACCTGGACTATTTACTATTGCAAACTCTACTCAGTGGAACTTAAAGTGTGTGCTTTGTGGTTAGTGTCTATTTGGAATAATATCTTTTCAAAAAGGATATTTCAAATGGGAAAGAGGGAAAATTGTAAAAATGAACAGACAGAATGAGTTCTGCCACTGATGTGCTTGACTATTTACTAATGATATTGAAAGGATGATATGAATATGCTTATTTTAAATATTAGTTTATCCTTAGTTTCGACTTTATTAAGAGAGAGATGAAATTTAGGCTTCAGAAAAGGATGGCAAGAAAAGTTCAAAACAATGCTGTTGCCTTTCCTCTGAGAGTCTTCCCAATTTATTCTGTAGATCTCTTGTTTGTTCATGGTTGTTCACATCCTATCTCCCCCTTTAGACTGTGAGCTCCTTAAAGACTGTTTTCCCCCTTCTTTCTATTCCCAGCATTTAGCAAAATGCCTATCACATAGTAAATGCTTAATAAATGCTTGTTGACTTGACTTGAAAATCATCCACTGGTACCATTCTATCTAATTGCTTTCAGGTGGTAAAGAGGGAAAAAATCAAGACTTTCCCAGTATGTCTTCTCTTCAGTCATTACCACTAGCAACCTACAGCCAAGTCACAAATCAACTGAGACCTCCAAGTGTATGTAAAGCATTTTCTTTTTTCTCCTTTCTTCATTTATAAATCATGTTCTAAATCTAACTGGTATAGAGGATATTCCCATTTTTAAAATTTTCTGGTTGATAGGGATAGCTCCCTGTCCCACCCCACCCTAGGAAAGATAAGATTTGACTGCCAGCTAGTTTGAGTTACACTGTAATTTTTGTCCTGTGTTTTGCCAGGCTTAATTTTATGAAATTCTTGCAGGCAGTCAGAAGAAATGTTGAGATTCATGTGCTTAAAAAGTTGCATTTTTCTCTCCTCCCCACCTGTTGTACTCAGACCCCAGAAAGGAACACTATTTTAGTAACAGAACAGCTTTGCACTGTGGACTCTGCTCTTACAAAGAAAGCTCATGGGACTTTAGCCCTTAAATAGTAACAAATCATTATTTCATTCTGGATGTCTTTCTTCCATGATGCTCAACAGAAAAAAAAAATTTTATCAGAGTAAAGTCCTACTTAAAAAGTCTGCTTATGATATTCAGATTTTTTGGGTTTGTTTTCCTTATGTCAGTTTTCCATTTTCTTAAACATTTCCCTCATTAAGAGTTTTTGCTCTCACTTCCCTCTACCTCTTTGTCATTGCTGCTAATAAGCTTAGAAGTTTTGTGACTTTTTTTTTCGTAATTTGGGAAGCACCTTGATAGGTTTCTGGGTTTTTTTTGTTTGTTTGTTTTTTGCTTTTTTTTTTTTGGTGAGGCAATCAGGGTTAAGTGACTTGCCCAGGGTCACACAGCTAGTAAGTGTCATGTGTTTGAGACTGGATTTGAACTCATGTCCTCCTGACTTCAAGGCCAGAGCTCTATACACTGCACCACCTAGCTGCCCTGATAGGTTTCTGACATATGCTTCATCACATTGTACCTACTGGTTAGAGATAAGAGAAAGTAACAAGGGCTGAAAGGGAAATAATGTTAGAGGGGTTTGATGTGCTTATAGTCCTGAAGGTGGGGCCAAGCCTAGTCTCTCTAAGGTAGTGGTCTTCATTAGTTTTATTTTGGTAGTTAGCTTCTTTTTCTTTGTAACTAAGTGAGATGAAAAGAGCTTCCAATCTGTCCTTGAGACATGAGAAAATCTTTTCCTGTTCCTTCTTTGCAGAAGTGAGGTTCTGGATGCAGAATTTAAGACATAACACCAGATATAGTTGATGGGTTGGTTAGTTTGCTGAACTGCCTTTTTTCCCCATGTCTGTTGAAAAAAGGGGTGACTTATTGGGTAGGGAACTGGTCATTTTGGAAATGAAGGTGATAGAAGAACAGAAGACATCAACATACTTTTTTTTAAAAGTTTTTACATTTGCTTCTCACAAATATAAAAATGCTGTTGAAAATATTCTAGAGAAAGTTGTACCAGGTGTGAAAAATAACTCTTAGAGTTTTCAAAATGCTTTCGTCACAACCACTCTGTGAGGTTGATTGAGGTAGATTCATAGTGAAGAAATTGTCATCCTCATTTTTCAGATGAGGAACTTGAAGCTCAGAGAGGAACAAAAACACAATTTTTTTTCATTGCTAGTTGTAGTCCATTGTCAAATTATCAACATACTGAGTCTGAGGGTAATGGAGAGAACTCCCACACCCAGCTAATTTCCACTTCTCAAAACTCAAAGTGCAACCATAAAATTTCAACAAATTTACTATACAAAACTCTGAAAGTCTATGTCTACCCAGAACATCAATTAACTTCTGCTCAAGATCAATGCACATTGTCCATGGGCCAAATTCTTTTATTGGCAATCCCAGTGAGTTATCTGTATACCCTGAACAGGGTAGTGCTACATGATCCTAAATAACTATGTGTTCTCCGATACCTTTTTTTGCAAATTTTCTCCCAGTTCTACAGAACTACAGATTGTGAGTTGTGGTCTCTTCTGTCTTTCTATTTATCTATCTACCTATCTATCTATCTACCTATCTATCTATCTATCTATCTATCTATCTATCTATCTATCTATCACTATTTTCAATTTCCTGCCCTTACAGTTGATAAGCAGAAACAAACTAATCTGTGTGGAATCGGTGAATTCAGAGCATATTCCTCTATCTCACGCCTCATCAAGGACTAGCTGTCTTGCTCCAGTGACTCAAGTCTCCCTTCAGTCAGGTATGAATCTTCCAATTTATTCATGTTCAAATCTTACATCAGATACTTTCTAGCTGTGTGACCATGGGCAAATCATTCAACCTCTGCCTGCCTCAGTTTCCTCAACTGTAAAATGAGATAATAATAACACCTACTTCACAGGGTTATTGTGAGGAACCAAAGAGGTAATATTTGTCACTGAGCATAGTGTCTGGAACATAGTAGGTGCTATATAAATGCTTATTTCCCTCTCCTTCCCCCTTCCCATAACTGACTAGTCCCATGAACCTAAAGTCATCCGTCCAGACTATGAATCCTCCCTTTAGCTAGTAGAAGGCAAACTGTCCTCATTGCCCCCCTCTCTTTAGAAGATGACATCTATTCTGAGGCACTTAACCAGTTTTTGAAACTTGAAACTTGATTCATAGAGACATGTGTGAGTCATATCTCTGACACTTACTAGCTGCGGGAGTATGGGAAGGTCTCTTAATCTCTCTGAACCTTTGTTTCTTCATCCATAAAACAATAACACCTAACCTTACAGGGTTATCATTTGTAAACCATTAAGAACCGTATCAATGTCAGCTGTCATAATTAGATACTATTTTTCTGTGTCTTCTCCTACGCTGTGCCTTACACCCACAACAGCTTCGTTCACATCTCAACAATGGTCATTCTTCCATTTTTTAAGGAGTTCTTGAAATCTCAGATTCTCCCCCTTGCCTCATTAAACTAATTGGAGGAAGTGACAGCTTTGTTCTATCACTAGCAACCCTTTCAACTCAAGTACATTTGTCCTTGTTTTTCAAAGTAGATATGGAGTCTGATTAGTTTTTTTGTTATATACCTTATTCAGTTGCCTGGTCACTTTCTCTTCATCTACAGCAATGTTGTCTTCGGTATCCATCTTCTAAATGCTTGGGACCTGTGTGTTTGACTCTTATGCACTGCTCTGTATAAATTTGAACCTGAGACTAAGATGATGAAGACAAAAGATTAATTTTCATTCTATGGGTCTCTGGAAAACATTTAAGGTTTTATTTTGGTGTATGATGTCCAAAAGTTCAGATGTTGGCCACTTGTTAACTAACCTTTGGCATTTCTGGATCTCTTCCTGGTTTTTCATGGTTACTTTATTCCTGTCTGCTGGCTTTCTTCATCATCCCTCTGACAGCAGACTGTTGAAATAGAGGACACTTCAGAACCGAAGAGAACAGTGCCTAGTCATTGTCTTAGCTAGGGTTAATGATATTTCCTTCCTACTGTTTACGTTTTGGCCACAAATTGGGTAATATTTTGTAAAGTGTGGCAACCTTATGCAAAATGTAAGAAGCTACACTAAGTGGCTGCTGCCTTTGGGCCACAGTTTGGAAAGGGGAAGAATCTCACTTGGGTGTTTTAAGGTTTTCCCCCTAGTGCTCCTAACCAATTCGCTGGATTCAATAGTCTTTTTAGGTCGTGACTTCTGATACTATTGAGGATGCCATCCTTTCTATTACTTTAAATACTGTGATATATCCAGTCCTTGCTAAGTACCCTGAGAGAATGAGCCCCATTTCCTGTCAGCTCTGATATGACTGGTCATGATATTTACATCAAGAGTTAGTGATTTTATCAGTAGATGTATATCCTCTCACTAATGCTTGTTGAAAGCTTTCCTTGTCTTAGTAGATGGGTTTAGTGAGTAGCTTTGGCTAAAAATAGTCCCCTGGTGGTCAGCTCTTTGGTGATTTCATTACTCTCAGCTTAGTTAAGCTGTTCTTGGCCAGCAGACAACTGGATTTGTACTTGAAGACCTCACCTGTGATTTTATTAGTATAGGGAGCTGCCAAAGAGATTTTTGTTGTTGTTTAGGGGTTTTCCGTCATGTCCAACTTTTCATAACCCTACGTGGGGTTTTCTTGGCAAAGATACTGTAGTGATTTGCCATTTTCTTCTCCAACTCATTTTACAGATGAGGAAACTGAAGCAAACGAGGTAAGTGATTAGCCCAGGGTCACACAGCTAGTAAGTGTCTAAGGCTGGATTTGAACTCAGGAAGATGAGTCTTTTTGACTCCATGCCCAGTGCTCCATCCACTGTGCCACCTAGCTGCCCTCCCAAAGAGGTAATGCCTTCTTATAATGAAGATAAGCAATTGATAGTCTTAGAGTATCTCCTGCCAGACCCCTACTAGTTATGTGCTTCCAGGAGTCTCCTAGGAGGAAAAAGCAAATGAAAATTTAAGTCAGAATTCTAAGGCTGCATTCTCCCTTGTTGCTTACACTGCCAAAGAGCATGTAGGGTAAAATGATTTAACTCTCGTTTAAGCTACTCTGTAGCATTGTGCTTCCTTTACAGCCTGTTTTGGGAAATAATATGAATCTGGAAGAGAGAGCTAGTGTGGTAAGCAGGGCAGCATCGAGGTATCTTAGGTAATAGTAGCTGGGTTTTGTTTTTGTTTTTGTTTTGAGGCCTGGACTTGTGAACGCGAGTGATGTAAAGTTTATCTTCATTTTTATAAAAAGAAAGAATAGCTTTTATTCCACATTGTCTGTAATTGGGTGGATTTAATGCACATGAGTGGTTTTGAAATCTAACTCTAAATTCTCTTATTCCAGTGTTTTTATGACTCTAATACAGTAAACATCATTCAGTACCTACTATGTGCCAGGCACTGAGCTAAGCCCTAGGGATACAATTAATAAAAAGACAGTCCGTGCCCTCAGGAAGGTTGCAATGGATGAAGGGATGTGGGAGGAGGATAGCACACAAAAGGAGGCAGGAAACAGGGTGGAAACCAGAGTACCCAACTTGGGGACATCTTGCTCTGGGGAGTTGAAACCACACAGAGCAGCAGATGCAGAGTGCAATGAGCTAAATCCTGTTTCTTCCCTCTATAAAGGAAGGCATTGGGAGGAGTTTGGTATTGCACCCTCCAGTCCTCCAATCAGAAGGGAGGGGAGACTGAGGGAAGTGGTGTCAACCAAGGCTTGAGTTGGCATGCCATGGTGGTGAGTTTAAAAGTGATGAGCTTATCCTGGGAGAGGCATCTTGTTAGTGAAGTTGATACCAGGCAGTGCAGGAGATGTGAAGTGAGCCAGAAAGACACTGGGAGGAGTTTAATATTGCACTCTCCAGTCGTCCAGTCAGAGGGGAGATGAGGTCCAGGGCGGTGGTGTCAGTCGAGGTTTGAGTCAGCAGAAATCGTGGTGAGTTTAGAGGTGATGAGCTTATCCTGGGAAGGCTGTCTTGCTCCTTGGGATTGAAACCAGACAGAGCTTCAGATGAAGAATGGAGATTCATGGCTACAAATTAATTATAGTACAGTACAATATAATAGGCATGTATTAAATGCCTACTGTGTATAGAGAACTGTGCTGGGTGCTAGTGGGGATAGGAAGTTTAAATGAGACAAGCTCCTTATGGAGCTTATGGTTGGTGGATTGAGATGCCAACAAAGGTATGGTGCACTGTATTTCATGGTAAATGTATTAGGGCATTATAAACAAAGTATCGAGTGAGGTTTTAGAGGGAAGGTTATTACCAAGGAGGAATCAGGGAAGGCTGCCAGGAGGAGGTGTCATTTGAATTGAACTTTAAAGGATGAATAGGAATTCAAAGGATCATAGGATTTGGAGCTGGAAGGGACCTTGGAGATCATCTAATGAGTCTAATCCCTTCATTTTACAGATGAGGAAACTGAGACCCAAGAGGGGAAGTGACTTGCCCATGGCTGTACAGTAGCAGAATTGGGATTTGAATCCAATAGGTTCAGTAATTAAAAAAGGAGAAATACAAAAGTACTAGATATTCGATTCATGTTTGGAGAAGGTAGAACATTGTCTAGACCGGCAGGAGTATAAAATGTGCATAAGGTGGTAATGTGAGATAGGGTTGGAAAAGTAAATTGTTTCCAGTTTGTGGAGGGCCTTGAATGCCAGGCATTTTCTGAAGAGGCAGGCACTGAAGAGGGGGTCCCTGATGATTTCTGAATAGAAGAGTGGTATGACCAGGTTTGCTTGTAGGAGAGATTAGTCTGGCAGGGTTTTATGAAGGTCAAATTGGAGAATTAGAGGGGTCAGAGGAAGCGGAATATGGAAGACCTGCATCGCTGGGCCCCATGTTTGAAGAAGGAGTCACAATGAAAACTTGTTTCTTTTCATCCTTGACTCAAAAGTACCCCACAGGATCATGGGATTCTACTAGGAAGTATTGCATATATTTCCTTTCTAGAAAAGCTTGTAATGTCTCCTGTAATTAGATGTGCAGTGAGAGAAACCTTTTGAAGGCCGAACAGGAGCTCAATCAGTGAAACAAAATCATGCCTTGCAGATAAATTGTATGTATTTTGGGGTTCTTTGATTTTCAGGAAATTGTTCCCCCGGTTTCCCAGGTAGTAGCAGTGTCTACACAACCCACAGTGGAGTCGAGCTCTGGCAAGTACCTAGTAACTGGGTCAGAGTATGTAGTCATTGGCAAAGTTCTGGCAAAGCTCCCATTTGTATGGTTCTTGGGCCGTCTTGACAATAAAAAAAAAAAAACCCCTTTGTAGAACCCACTCCCTTGACTTAGCCTTTTTTCCCCAGTGTTACATTTGAACTTGGCTGAATTCAGATCAGTAAGTGAAGTCAAATTCTTTATTATGGCAGGTCTATTAGGAATCAGGTAATCAGTTAGCAGGAAAGTTATGTGATACAATGGATAATGCGCTGGGCCTGGATTCAGGAACACTCATCTTCCTGAGTTCAAATCTGCTTCGAACACTTATTAGCTGTGTGTCTCTGGGCAAGTCACTTAAAGCTCTGTTTGCTTCAGTTTCCTCATCTGTAAAATGAGCTGGAGAAGAAAATGGCAAACCACTTCAGTATCTTTGCCAATAAAACCCCAAATGGTGAAGCAAATTGGGAGTTGGACATAAATGAAACGACTCAACAACACCAATCGATAAACACTGTTGATCTTCTTCTGGTGTTATCATGTCTTTCAGGATGGGCAAATAGAAAGGAGAGGCAACTAGCTTCAAGAAAGTCCTTGGAAGCAGGTTGGGGGAGTCTGGGGGGGGAGGGGGGGAGAAAAAAAAAAAAACCAAACAAAAAAAACCAAACAAAAAACCCAACCATCCCCCCAAAAAGATTTATGGTGGGTTTTGCTCCTTCCTCTATGCAGTACTTAAACCTCTTTAGCTCTTCCTAGCCCTTTTCCAAGTATAAAATTTTAAAAACTGACAAACCAGCAATGTGGTAATGACTTTGAATCATAGGGTCATAGCATTTAGGGCTGAAAGGGACCCTTAGAGATCCTTTAGTACAACTCCATGTTACAGATGTGGAAACTGGGACCCAGTAAGGGTAATTGGATCCAATTGAAGACATAAAAGCAGGCCTGTGAAAGCAAGCCCTACCCTTAGGACATCCTCTCTGAATGGTGCTGATGATTGTTACCACCATCCAGAGTCTGCTGGGAACATATGTTTGAGATCTGAGACCACTGGTTTGATATATTGATCAGATCCTCAGAATGACCATGTCACCACTTCATTCCATTAGCGCAAATCATCTCAGTGGTAGACTATAGGTAAAACATGTCTGACCAGTCTAGGAAGGGCAAGCTCATGTGCTTCGTGTGTGTGTGTGTGTGTGTGTGTGTGTGTGTGTGTGTGTGTGTGTGTGTGTGTGTGTGTTAGAGCTCATCTTGGTTCAATAATCTTTTGGAACCTGAGTAAGTTGTCCGTTAATGAAGGCTAGGTTAACTTTAAAGCAGTCTGATTCAGAGTAGAATTGTCTGGTGCCACAAAGATCTCTTTTCTACAATTCTTGTCCTTATTTCCGTGTGTTTGGATGTTGGATAGGTTATCATTAGAAGCAGGACTCTTGGAACAATTCTCTCTGAGTTAATGAAACTTTATTTTTATTTAAACAATAGAAACATTGGCAATATTAACTTAGTTACAATCTTAGCTATGGTCATGAAGAAAATGCCCTCTACCCTACATGTGTATTAATTTAAACGAATGCTTCTAGGCACCGAATGCTGGTTCTGTAGTCGTGGGGCTTCTTCCACTTTCCTGCTGATAGTCCATATCCACACTACTTTGTGGACGTGGATAGAGTGAATTCTGATGAATTCAGGACACTGTATAACAGATGTGTCCACAGATGCCCATCCTATTAGCAGTCATTCTCATTAACCTTTTCTTGAGACAGCTTCCATCCTGAGACTTCCCACCATGAACTCTTCGAACTCTTCTCCACCATGCTGCTGTTCCTGACCCAGACCCAGATTATTTAGAACTGATGTTAAATTAAAGTGATGAGGACCTTGTTGTTGTTCTTGCCGCACTGATGGGACATGTCACTGAAATGAGGACGAAGGCCATTACAGACATGGGCCAGAGCATCCAGAACCCAGAACGGCTCTTTTGGAGAGGATTATTTTCACTGAGATATGAGTTGGACAAGATGATTTGTGAGGTCCCCTTCAACTTTAGGATTATGTGATTCTTTTATCAGGAGAAAAAAGAAAAAGAAAAATGACTTTAAAATGCTTACCACCTCAGATCAGCTAGACAAATGTGAGGAAAACAAAGGCTAGATTTTATTAATAATATTTCATTTTATTTGAAAATAGTTATAGTTAAAGGAATACAGCCATTTAAGGGCTGTTGGGTAGTGGCACAGTGGATAGAGCACTGGTCAGGGAGGCTGGTGTCGCTTAGCTACCCAATTTCATTTTACTACCTCAAGTTTCTCGAGAGGTAGGTGAGGCAGGGATTATTTTCTAGATCGAGAAACTGAGTTTCAGAGTGGCTTGCCTATGGTCACACAGCCAGTAACTCCCAGAGATGCGACTTAAATCCAGACCCCCTAACTCCCATTTATTGTTCTTTTTCAGCACAATAAACACTTGTTATGTACACACACACACACACACACACACACACACACACACACACACATACATACATACACACACAAAAAAATCAGCACAATCCTTGTAATGCTATAAAGTTTTGAAACAAAATTTGGATATAATAGCAGTTTTTATGTCTGGCCAAGCTCTTTAAAATGTGATCCTTACTCTCATATAATTTTAGAGTTTGCCAGGAAGTCAATCTTGGTCCCATTTTACTGAAAAGGAAATGGGAGGTACAAGCTTGTGACTTTATCTTAGGTCAATCTCTTCCAGTAAATAGAGCAGAGGTCTTGGTGTGTTAAGCAGCAGTGAACTCTGTATCATGGTTTGTATTTTCTTGTGGTATATAAAGGTAGGATTTGAAGGGAGTGGGATGTCAAGATTATTGTGGGATAAAGTTAGGGTTAAGAATTTTTCACTCTGTTGGAGTTTTGTTTCTAGCCTTTCATTTGCTGCTAAAGTTAAATCTTTTTCAGCAAGCATGATTGCCATAGGATTAGAGCTACAAAAGACCAATCTAATTGTCCAATACCTTCATTTGAAAAAACAGAGGTCCAATGAAGTTAAGTGACTTGTCCAAGGTCACCCAGATAATAAGTAGTAGAGCTGGGTTGCTGCTCTGTCCTTTGACTCCAAATCTAGGCCTCTTTTCACTACACCATGGAGATGTATATAAAATCAAGGCTTATAAATTAAAGAATCAATCAACAAACATTTGTTAAGCATTATGTGCTAGGTGGCTGGGGATACAGAAACAAACAAGAATAAGCTTCCATTTTAAGGTAGAAATTTTGGAATAGGTGCTTTTTAAAAGCACAATTTAAATGTGTTTGATGTTTATCTGTAATGCAGATCAACTCTCCAGGCCAGTAGTAGCTGGACATGACAGGAGTACGAGGTCCCATCCAAACAGTATGGAAGCCATCAGAGAAATCCTCCTGTCTGTTTTGAACCTGTCTGCACTGAAACCACCCTCGAGGCCTGGAAAGATGGGGTCCCAAGCTGCTGGATGGCAGGAGCCTCCTGGGGATTCCTGGAAGGGGAGTAGTGATGAGTCTGAAGACACAGAGGAGGGACGTAGCCAGTCTAACACCACTCTTCCTCTTAGCCAAATTGATATTAGGTCCATGCGGCACAAGGCTGCCTGGATTAATTTACCACAGTGTGCAGTGTCTGCAGAGGAACAGTTGCCAGATTCGTCCACCCCTGTGCCAGTATGTGAGAACAACAAGGCCCATTTCATAAGCAGCCACAGACCTTTTCCTTTGGGATGTTCACCTACGCCTCCTGGTGACTCCCTCACAGCAACCCTATTGCTGGGAGATAGTATTGCTACAGAGGGCAGCTCCCTCACTTGTTCAGAAGAAACGGATGTGCACTTGTCTCTGTCTTCATCAGAACAGCATGTTACGCTTCCAGAGAGCCTGACTCCATCAGCCATCTTAACAAGGTCTAAAATTCCGGCTCCTTCACCATTTCCAGTGAATGGCAGTGCTTCCCACCAGCCCCTCAAGCTGATGACCCCTACTGAAGAAGGTATTGTTGGCTAACCATATCTGTTCACGTAAAATATTTTTCTTGGCTATATCTAAAATCTTGGCTTTTGTTGTTTTTCAGTCATTTTGTTGTGTCTAACTCTTCATTACCCTGTAGACCATACAGTGTGTAGAGTTTTCTTGGCAAAGATATTAGAGTGGTTTGTCATTCCCTTCCCCAGTAAATTTAGGCAAACAGAGGTTTAGCAACTTGCCCAGGGTCCCACAGCTAGTGTCTGAGGCTAGATTTGAACTCAGGTGTCCCTGACTCCAAGCCTAATGCTCTACTCACTGAACCACCCAGCTCTTGCCTTGCTGTTTATAATCAATCCATTATTAAGTGCCAACTGTGTGCCTGGCATTGTCCTAGGTGCAAGGGGTAAAGAAAGAAAACAGAGCAAAACAAGTCAACTAAATCCCTGTTTTTAAGGCATTTACATACAAGTATAAACAGAATATATATAAAATGATTTCATAATAGTTAAAATGGAGATTTCATAGCAGGAGATAAGGTGGATGGCTTTTCCTTTTGACTGAAAAACAAATTATTAGCTCATTTAGCAACTTTTGGATGTTCATCCTGGGTGGACAGCCAGTGAAAATCAAACTCTCTCTCTTTTTTGTCCTTTGACAAAAGCATTTTTTTTTTATTAAGGAATAGACTTTCTACTGAGTCACCTTTTAAAAGACCCAGAGGGTCAGTTAGCTAACAAGCATTTACTATGTGCCAGGCATTGTGCTAAGTACTGAGAATACAAACACAAGCAACACAAGGGTAAGAAAGAGATTTATTGAGTAATAATAGCTGAGAGGTTAATAGAGGCCTCTGGCTCTGAGTTCAACCTCTGACATCTCTGTGACCCTGGACAAGCCATTTCTTGATGCCCCTAGGCAACTAAGACCAGAGTTTTTAAGTACTTTTGCATCATGGACCCCTTTGGCAGTCTTAGTGAAGCCTACAGAAACCTTCTCAGAACAATGTCTTTAAATGTATAAACTAAATTACATAGGATTATAAAGGAAACCTATTTTTATTAAAATCAAGTTAACAAAATATTAAAAAGTTCATGGACCTCAGGTTAAGAACCTCTTTCTAAGATTACAAGTTGCAGGGAGGTACTGATCTGCACTAGAATATGAAGTTTCTCATTAAGAGTTTCCCTGCACCAATGAAATCAGAGGTTTGGCAAAAAAGAAAAAGGAGAAACACACACACACACACACACACACACACACACACACACACACACACA